TGGTCTACCTGTTAAGGTTCTCTTCATTTTCAGCTAAGTTGAGTGTAGAAGGAATGATTTTTATCAGCACTGGTTACAGTTTAACAAGTTTATTCATATTAATAACAATTTAAATGTTTCAATGCGTGTTTAAAGCTAGAAAAAAAAAAAAAAGTGATTCTTTCTGCAAAATTCTCATTCAGCTCACTCAGCAGAATGCAATCATAAAAGGCTCAGCATGGAAAAAATAATAAGTGAAGAATCATCCACACCACAACATTCAGAATCATTCAGGTTACGCTCAGCTGTCTGTTTTGCTCAATTCTGCGTTCATCGAAGAGAATAGAAGCAATGCGAATACGAACGAAATCAGTGCGGCTCGCACAAGCTGCTGTTCGTTTCTGATGTTGTATGCGTGTGAGTAAGTACACTCAAAAAATAAATCACATTTCCAATGGAAAATATCCATTAGAATTTCACATAACTTTCATGTGATCTCATAATTGGGAATCGCACTACAAAATCACATGAACCTTATGTGTCCAATGAAATTTATGTGATTTATCACATAGAATTCATGTGATCATATGAATGTTATGTGAATTTCAGATAAAAATCATTAATTTTGTTATTGGAAAAATATCATATGCGTTCCCAATGGAAACTATATGAAAACTTTTTTCGGTGTAGTATAAACATAGAGGTAACAAAAATGAATCGATTTTTCCCATGCTTGCCTGAGACCGACATATGTTAGCGGACTCTTTTGACATAGGAATCAGTTGAAAAAGACGAGAAAATCTATTCAATCTAAAGAACTTTTCGTCGAGTTGCATATGGTTTAATTTCAAGACACTTAATTTAACATGACATGTTTGTTTACAACGGCGCCGGTGGTGTAGTGGTAAGCGTGATTACCTCTCACCCCAGCAGGCCTGGGTTCAATCCCAGTCGGCGCCGCCGGGATGTTCTGAGGCATAACATCTCTGATCACGCCTTCCTTCGGATGGGAAGTAAAGCCGTTGGTCCCCGGTTCATGAGTTGATGGGTCGATAGGTAGGGTCCAGGTGTGGGAGCTGCCTTCCTGGCACGTCGGTAGCATTGGTGCACAGCACGGAAAACAAGATCGACGGAAAAAAAAAACAAACCAAAGGACATGTTTGTTTACGTTCCATGATTTACGTCAAAGATTAATAACGTAGATTAATAATTTTTCCAGGATTTGGCTGACTGAGTGGCTTTTACTCAGTTTGACATTTCTGGTTTACTAAGTTTTTGACAACTCGATACATCGGACGAAAGTGAGTACGATCCTATGTCAATCATACAAGGTCTGGAACAACAGGTAGCTTGCTGGTGTTAGAAGCAAAAATGTTGTAAACATTGCTGAACAAGAGAATGACGATGTCACGGCAGCACAACATTCCATACTGCGAATGGCAGACGTGTCGTCACAGAAAACAGCTGTTTCGTGTAAAAAGATAAACATTGCGATGAAATACGAACACCACTAAACATTTCCACATTTCACTAATACCAATAAGCCGGTTGGGCCAGACCTTATATAATTGACATCGAGTACGATCGACTCACCCGGTGAGTAAGCTGAAGTTAGCGTATACACTTATATTTAGATGTACTTGCTACCAGGGTTGCTTCAACTCACTTGCTATAAAAAAATGATTTACGGAACTTTGAAATTATTAGATGTTGAAATAACAATGTGTACTTGTTAGATATAAGAAGATATTGAAAGGAAAATGTTTGACACATAAAACCTGTCAGAGTGAAGGCGGGGAATCCTGTTAGAAGTGGAGCTCAGCAAGCATTTTATGTGTTGAGTATGCTGAAAAGGAGGAAATTCATATGTTAATCTAAATACACAAATAAGGGTACCGACAAATTTGTTTAGTGCCAGGTACTCTATTCTGAAGTCTGTGAGAGGGAAATCACACATTGTGCGTCTTCAAAATTCATGAAATGTTGAGGGATTGATCTCGTAAGGGAGCATTGGATTGTGTTGGCTCTCTGGGACCTGGTAGTAAAGTGGGTAAAAACACCAACGAAGTGACAGACGACTAACTGGCGAAGAAATCAATTAAAATAATGTGGTTCGCTGTAATAGAATTTTCTTAGAAGCTTGTGCCATCATCCACCAGATGGGCTAGTTTTTTTGTTTTGATTTGAACAAAGTTGATTTTGTGTACAATTTTTCTTTGACAGTGTGCAAAGAGTGTATATTTTTGTCGTTATTTTTATGCATTTCAGTTTTGAGAAGAGTGAAAGAGATAGAACCAAAACATTCTAGGACATTTGGTGAAAATGCTAGTAGAATCCAGTAGTAGTGTTGTCATGTGGTACAATCCAGTAGAAGTGGTGTTGCCATGTGGTACACTGAAAAATTGCAATAGCAGGTTAGTCACCAAAGTTTTCGAGCCGCTCCGTCTGCCACTTCGTTTGTGGTAAAAATGTGTATGAGAAACCTTTTATTTGTAGCTTATTTAACAATAATAAACCATTTTGTTAAGCTTCTGCATTTATTTTCCATCAGATGCCACTGTTATTTTTGGTGACATCTATCGGAAACTGCACATAATATGTTTTCCGTTAATTGTTCACAGAGAACAGTGCAGTGCAAAACATGTCTGGTACCTCTATATATGCATTTAGATTAGAAAAGTTTTCTGCCTGTACTAATGTGAAATTTTCCCAGTTCCAACTTTTCTCAAGACCACTATTTGATTGAACATCAGGATAATTAGTTATTAATTAATAAGGAAGATGATGTTCTTGTGACATGCTCCATAAATTGTTCAGCAGGCAACATTGGTGTTCTTGGCGCGAAGAACTACTATGACATAAGTGCAAGTGTTGCTCTGAAAGCAGTCGATTAATCACACCAGCAAATTATCGGCTTTGAAATCAATCAATATCTTATTACCTTGAAATCTAATCAAAAAATAGTTTTAGACAAAGTGTAGCAGATAAAATTTTCTATAAGAACAGATAGCAAACTATTCCGTAGATCACTACAGCGAAGGGCTAAACCGTTACTTTTCCCATAGTAATTATCATATAAAATTTAAAAATCCAGTGAGTTCACATCCAAATGAACTAAAATTTTGAGAGAATTATCAGAACCTGGCTTAGATTCGGTTATGTTTGGTGGAGCAAAATCGATATTTTTTACCACCCTAGTGCATATGCATGTTTTGTTTGTTTTCCATTGCATATTGTAAAAAGAACACTAAGGCTCTGAACCATTTGGCGGATTTTTTTAACTTTTGGGTAAAATTCGACAGATGAAAAGTTATCGATTAACCCTGCTATCCGAGTGTGTTTGTTTCTGACAGACAAGAAGTTAAATTTTGACAACCGTGGCTGAGTTCTGCTCGAAATCCGATCGATCGGTAACACAGGGATTTTCGAACATAGAAAATAACTTTCGAAATGTCACTTTTAACCACGAGTTAAATTTAACTCGGCAAATGGTTCACAGCCTAAATCCATGATTTCGGCGTTAACAGGTAAAGGTACGAAACTTTAGTTCAAATGCTACCGAACGAAGTCAATAAGAACGCGTGATATGAATGTTTTGCACCCAATATTCTCAAATACAAATGAAGCGCTCCGACCGAATCAATCTTTATCTTCATCCGATAGGCCGAAGAGAATTCATTAGGTTTTCAATAGCGTTTCAATGTGTTAGGCCGAGTTTAAAATCCGTAGGCCGAGTTTGGCGTCAAGAAGTAGTGCTAGACTTTTAACAATATCTCAACAATATGTTTCTCTTTATCAAATCTTACGGTACGTACGGAAAGGTAAATTTGGAAGCCATCAGTAATAATAACATTCCGTTTGGTGCTAAACTACGCTAGATTAAGAAAGGCTAAGTGCGGCTTGTGCTTAGTAGGCCGGAAATGGGGTAGTTTACCCTACATAATGCCAAAATATAAAGCAATAATTTTTTTAAGCGGACATCTCATGAATGATTATTGCACAGTTAAATGTCGCATGGCCAAACTCGTAGGCGAATAATCTCAAGCGTGAGCTTTGAGATTGTAAGATGTTCCGACAACAGCAAATCTTTTCAAGTTCGCTGAACTTTAGAGCATTTATGTGATACCGGAATTTAGGAATATTTTGAAGCTTACAGTTTTAAATTACACACATTATATTAGTTTTACAATCATTATGGATTTTAGACTTAAAATCAGCTTCTTGCTTTAATACTTCAGATGACGAAGGGTCCAAAGTTGCAAATTATAGATGTAGCCGTAGGAATCTAAGGGAATTAAGGTGATTCCTTGTTATGTTCACAAATTGTCGCCACATAGGCTAGACATGCACTTCCACTTCTAATTTTCAATTACATAAACTTCGGAAATCAATACCCCATTTCGTTTGACTTCATGTATGCAATTTAAATGTTGCACGAGTCACAAAAGCTGATAAGTGTGCACTTAAAGTTTCGAAGTAGTTTCGAGAATAAGGATGTCACAGTGATTCCCTGTAGCGTCCTTTTTCGTGTTACACTTCGCAATTTCACATGTAAAAATAATAAGGTTTCTGTGAATGCACATAGCTGAAACTACTACTTGTTGTTTGCTGCGGAGAAGCAAGTCATGTCTGAAATTTGCAGATGTATAAACATCTTAGATCTTGAGTTGTGTGCTCTTGAAATTGCGAGGTGTGATGGAAAAATGAACTCTACAAGGAAACATCTTAAGAAGCAGTTGTAAGCAAGGAAATTGAATTAAACAGGAGAAGAATATTTCAACATCAGAGAAGAAGCTGGAAACATATTTCCACATCAGAGCCCCATAAATCAATAAAGAAATCAGAAACAATAAAATCTCGTAGATTGATTGATATATCAGTCAAGCTATATGCCAATTAGAGTGATTTACAGTGAAACTTGAATTTTTTCATCATACATTGTGAATAATCCACAACACACAAATATTTTCCAACGATTGGCTAATCGCCCGTTTTCCTCGTATTCTCTCTCTAAATTGCAGGCCACATCATCTTCATTTCCCTGTCACCTCAACCGGAATAAGCGCTGCTGCACGTCATCCTCCCGGGTGCAACCAATCTCTATCGGTCCCGTAGGAAACGACCAACTCATCCCAACGCCAAAATGAAACTAATTGCACGCAGTCATCCCGTCGCTGCCATCTACAGCGCCTCTTCGCTAATCTTCCTGTTCGGCGTGGTGCTGCTGATGGTTTCCACCATGTGCGAGGCCGATCCATCGCCGCTCGAATCCAACAGCCTGTTTGGCGTCGACGAGAAGAGTAAGTCTTATCATCGATTTGGTGGCGGCGGTGGCCATAAAAATCCATTGACCGCGGGAATCGACTCGGATTTTCCAGCTATTAATATATGTATGCATCGGAATTAACCGCCAAAGCTATGATTGTTGAAAGTACCTATCAGTCGATGGCCGTTATCTTGCGATAAGTACTCGAAAGTCGTAAATTAATGGGTGCGATGGGCTACACTTGAGGTTCAGGCAGTTGTTTGTGAGATTTATTAATTTGATATAGATACGGAAATCTGATATATCAAGAATTGCAAATGCAAAGGTTGGCTATATTTGACGATAGGACGAGTCGTTCTCAGCAAATAAACATGTCATCAATAATGCAGTTATAATTCAATCAGTAAGTCATGTCGGAAAAAACAAGACATTTGTCTCTTTGCGTTCGTTTCTTACAGACAGCAGTTGTTCTGTCTGGTTGTTTGTTGCTGAGGTGAATGATAGGAGATACATATCAATACCTCAAATGGCTATAGTTTGCCTCTACCAAGAGACGAGACGGGAAATGTATGCTTTTAAGGTTAGCGGAAATGATTGTAATTGAAAGATGAGAGAACTTCAATAGTGCAGGTTACCGTGCTGCAGTGCTTTCAAGATGCGGGAAATCTAAAGTGGGTGAACGGTTGTTGTTTCTGGAAATCGATATTTATGAAGTTGAAACTTTTAAACGATAAAGGTTGGAGTTTTCATAGGAGAATTACACAAAATCCACAACTAAGAGACTAAACTAAGTTCACGACTTCGACGAGGACGACTAAGTTCACTTAGTTTTATTTTCTCCATCTCGGCATTTTTCACCGAGATTTACACAGGGCCTTACAACACTTATTGCAACATGTTTCTAAGATCGTTGTGAAATTTGTTAGCGCAAATCTCTGCAAAAATTACAGAGATTCGGCAAACGAAATTTATTGTGTAGTAAATCCTAATGTCGTTTTTTTTTGCACTACACCGCCGTGCACCAAAATAATTCAGGGTGTAGATATCAGTTACACCAACAATCAATATGTAACTATCAATTTTAAATTGGCTCACTACTTGACTAGCCTATTAACCACTTCATTCGAGCAGTTAAAAGGACATTTACTACCACTCGAACTTTGAAATAAAACATTATTTTGAGATTTTTTCTTCTAGAACCTCGAGAAAAGCAGCCAAAATTTGTGCGTTCAATAAAAAAATAGAAATTAGTTGGTCCAGTTTTGTGAAATCGCTGGTAGAAAGTCAAGTCAAAACTGCTGGACAAAGTGGTCAATAGACGAGTGCCCGGATGGATTTGAGTTCACTCGCTCGACAAAAAGTGACACAACAGCGGGGCCCAGTTTACTAAAAATGAACACATGAATAATACTCGCGTAACATTTGAAACGGGCCTATCAACTTTTGTACACAAAAAAGGTTAAGCCCTTTTCGCGCGAACCGAATACGAAACTAACAACACCATCGGGTAGGAGAAATTCTCCCCTTCCTGATAGTTCTCTTGGTTTACGTAAGCATACTTCGGTTCTCGTGAAAAGGACCTTGCAAGTTGTTTAGAAAAATTGATAATCCATCCATAATGTTATGCGAGCATTATTCATGTGTTCATTTTAAGTAAACAGGGCCCCGCTGTTGTGTCACTTTTTGTCGAGTGAGTGACCTCAAATCCATCCGTGCACTCGTCAATTGGTGCCAAGCAAATCGATTAACGTATCCTATTCTAGTATAAATTCACTATGTTTGTTTTGAATCGATATGAAAGTTTGACAGATAAAATGAGGGGTTAGTGGATTTTCCCTAGAGAAATACCGGGTTGCTGGGGTTGGGTAATTTACAAACAATCGCAGCTTGCTCTACACCGAAAATAGTTTTCATGTAGCTTCCATTGGAAACGCACATGATTTTCATCCATAATCAAAATTAATGAAATTCATCTGAATTTCCCATAACATTTATGTGATCACGTTAATTTTATATGATTTTACATATGAATTTCATCGGCCTCACTATATTAATGTGATTTTGTGGTGGGATTTGCAGCTATGTGATCACAGCAAGTCGATCGGATTAATGCACGGTGAATGAGGACGACCCAAATTTGAGTTTAGTTCACTCATAATTGCCAAAAGTGCAGGAACTCAGCGATGAGTAAATTTGTCTCATGGTTTCCTGTGGAAAAATTCGGTGAAAACAAGTGGTGAAGAGAGAAGAGTGCCATTGCTGCAGGTCGAGGATGAGTTTTTGTGCGTGGGTGCGTGAGCAAATCGAATGGTGAGATTTTTTTCTTTCGTGTGGGATGAGACGCGAATAGTGGGAGAGTGAATATTCATCAAGCACATACAAAAACGATGATAATCAGTACAATAACAATTCTCGCGTCACTTTTCAAATAGACCAATGTAACAAATGTAAACAAATCGAGTTAAACGATACAAACTATTGCTCTTCTATCATTGGCTTGCTTACTGAGCAGAAAAACGCGGTCCCAGGTCCTTTCATATTAAAAATGTATGGTAAGATGGCTTGTTTATCGTGTATTTTGCTAAACCTTTCGTTGTCATCGGTGCCGGGTTTGAATAGTTATAACAACTTGAGTAACGGTATGATGTGATATGAGGGGCTTGGTGACCTTAGAGCAACCGTTTTTGCTTACTGAGCAGAACATCCTGAGTCTAATCTCAAGCCCATCCACATCAAGATTCGTCAATCGTTTTATTTGTTAATATGACTACATGGTAATAACAGCAACTCGATGATTAAAAAGGAGCTCGTTTGCCTAGTAGCAAACGTTTTTGCTTACTGAGCAGAAGACCGTGGGTTCAATCCCAAGCTCCTTCGCGTTATACGATCGTTAGGACATCAATTCAGCTTATTTTTACCAAAACGAACCCTGCTGCAAACCCAACCCTCTTACCCAACATCCCTGTGATTCCTCGTGGAAGTGCAGAGGACTCCTCGGCTTCCATCAAAGCGAGTGTCACGTCAACACATTCCTACCCATTCCTTTCTTGACCTGCGTTTAGGCGCGGCTGGCGCTGGTATTGCCTAATTCGAGATCACCAGTTTTTACACATCGTCTATTGGTTCTCTGTGTAATTACAGCTGGTCTGGCAATACCAGAGTAGCAACCGTGGGCGGTCAATCATGCTTATGCTCATGCTCATGCATCGTTTCCTGTGGAAAACCTAAAAAATCTGCCGGAAAATGAGGAAATTGACGATAATTTTATTCAGTCCCGGAGTAGTAGCAATAGACTGAGTGAATCCAATCTTTACTTTTGAGCCCACACACATTCGCAAATCGTTTCGGATCGACCTTTTACGATTACGATGAAACTTTGAACAGTTGTTTGTTATTGCCCAACATGCCATTTTACATATATGGTTCCCTAGTTTTGTACACGACTAACACTTGAAAAGGGCTTATGCAAAAATGATACGCATCAATAGAAAAATATATATATCTCGTTAACGATTTGTTTGATCGAGATGGTGTCTTAGAAGAAGTTGCGGACAAGTATTGTGCCTTCCAAGAAAAAATATACACTGTAAAAAATTATATTTTTTTAACAAAAAAAAATTAAAATTGCTCAAATTGCATATATTTTTTTAAATTATTTTTTTATATTTATTTTGTAGTTTAGATAAAGAAATACCAATTGATACTGTGTATTTGCTGGGCAAATCATAATTAAAAAACTTATGAATTATTGCAAAAAATAAGTATTTTCCAAAATACTACCGATAATTATCGAATATCTTTGAAATAGTGTTAATATTAAAACACATTAAATTTACAACAAAAAAGCTCATAATGCTTAAATTGATTGTCGGGATTTTTTTGCGATAATCTTCTGTCAGCGTTTTGGCTGGTGGCGCTACGCCATCCGGAAGAATTTTCGTTTGAATTATTTCCAAATGTATAGTCCAGTTCAGTTTTACGTATTCAGTAACCGTGTTGTGCCAGTGTTAGTGATTTAGACCGTGAAATCAGCATGGAAAGAAAAGATTCCCATTGGTTAAACCCTTTTAAACCGTGCCGTTCTTTTCTGGATACTAATTTGATGAGCTCGTTCCTTAATTTTTGTGGTAATTCTATCGTAAATATTTTTTTAAATCATTAAATACGCGCCAATCAAATTTTGCGCTACTGTTTTAAAGAAAGTTTCAGTACATTATCAGCATCGATACTGTACCGGAGCGGGGCTTATTGTAAGCAAAATCTTCGGAAGCATGCGATCTTGAAATAGGCTAATGGGTATACGGTAAAGCTATCACCTTCGAACTCCAGAGTTCAAACTTTTTGCAGTCATAAAAAAAATGGTTACAGGTAGATTTTATACATAATACCACTGCCAGACCACTGCCAGACAGGAGTGTGATTGTAGATACATACAGTACATACAATAAATGAACGAATGAATAATTGCATCAGTCAAATGTGTCAAAATTAGTCTGTTTTTTTTTTTATAAAATCTTTATTCTGTCTTCCTAACATATAAAAATGTCTTACAAGCTAAGCTATTCTTAACTAATTACAGGCATTTATTTCTAAGAAGAATTTGAAGCTAGGCAAGGAGATCATATGTCGTTCTGTTTCCAAAATATATTGACTAAACTGAACAAATTTTCTTAGAATCATAATTTTGTCATCCCTGCTAAACTCTTCTAAGGTTGGAGCTATCAAACTGGAAAAGGTTAAGAAGCGCATTAAACGAGGATCAAATCTGTTTAGTAAATGTCTAATAAAATAGTTCCATGACTGATTGACCGAAAAACGTTTACAAAATATATGCTCAAGATCTTCGAGGAATCCGCATGATAAGCAATTAGGGTTGTCAGCAATACCTATGCGATACAAATGAGCTCTGTGATCAATTTTCCTATTATAAAGTAAATAAATAATAGATTTTTCATTTGAGTTCAGGTTCTTTAAGTTAATATTATTCCAGACACGTGGCCAATTGTTTTGTTCTTTAGTTTCAATAGTTGGTCTAGGCAATGATCCAATTTTATCAGAATATAGTTTTGTCATAGAATAATGTTGTGTTAAATCATGTTCGTAAAACAAATTCATGAAAGATGGATACATATGTGGTAATATAGTAACAGGTTTCCTAATGACTACTGACTCCTAATATCAGTAGAATATAAGTAGAATATAATTTTTCAACAATTACGTGTTGGTCGAATTAGGATTTATCCCAGGCTACTATTGTAGAAAAACGTAATTGATAGATATTGGGCGGAACGCGTCGGAATGTTTAGAAAAATAGGGCGCACGCTTGATCCGGTTTAAGATACATTGTTGACTGCGTTCGGGTACGTGATTTCATTTTAATAACTTGTTTACTTGTTTAACCATTGAACGTCGCGTGAAAGTGGAACTTAATGAAGTTTTTTAGTTTTTAGTTTTCGGATTAGAAAAATCATCGGTTGCAGGACAGTGTTACCGATTTATATTGGATAATCCAAAGCTATGTTGATCATTATAACATTAAATTTTCAATAACAAATGATAAGGCAATCTTATTCAAATGTCGTAATAATACCTCTGACCAAGGAAAAATGATTTATATAGTTTTCATAAAAGTTGACGATACAAATACTAATGAGGAAAGGAATTCCGCATTTCCTTTTCCCAAGTCCTTTTCCTCTCCTTCCCTTCCCTTCTTTTCTTTTCAGAAAGCGAGTAATGGCGCTATAACCATATGCCATATAGGGCTAGGACAAGAGTTAGTGCTCAGGTCCCAACCGCTAGAAGAAAATGGTAGCGAGCAAGGGCGCTATAACCTAAGCGAATACAGCATTCCCTCCGTATAGGTTACGTCCGCACACCGCTCTCTGTTGTCCTTCGTCGGCTGGATCGATTGAGGGATGGCAGTGGGTTGGCAGTGCCGTCCACGCTTGTACGGAGGGAGGACTGTACGCTCGAACACAAGGGGTAAATACCTGTGTTCCATCCCAGGAGATCGGACAACCAAGGAGTGTACATCAACTTTCTTAGCTCTGTCACTCCCAACAATTTATATAGCCTATTTTCAAATTCTGCATACGGAGCGGTTGGTACGGTATGTCCCCGCTCTTTGATTACCTGTGGATTAAATGTTAACCACTGTCTATACTTATTAAGTAGACATGGTAAACATTCACTTCCACAAAAATTAACTAAACGCTACACAGTAGGCCTGGCCGCTTTATTGTTTGTTTCACATCCTTGATGTGCAGCAGGCATTAATAATGACAAGAAAAATGATAGATGTATCATTTTCCAGGATTCTTTCAAGTACTGGCTGTGTATGTGTAGACTAGACTAGACTAGACTAAAAAGCTCATAATGCTTAAATTGCCCAAAGTTGTTATTTTCGAAATACTCGTAGGTTAAAATTCACTTGTCGCTTAATTTGAGCAATTTTCACTCTTTTGAGATGTTATTCGTGAGTGTTCAATCTTGAAAATATTTTTAACAAAACGCCCAATTAATTTCCTTAAACTTTGCTTTACACAGTTTTTTAATCATACGCATGAGTTAAGATATAATTAATTAGCTAAACTAGCTAGCCGTATATGGGGCCAAACAGAAAAATATACTTTTCCCATACCATCTCTTACTCATAATTAATTATATCTTAACTCATGCGTATGATTGAAAAACTGTGAACAGCAAAGTTTAAGGAAATTAATTGGGCTTTTTGTTAAAAATACTTTCAAGATTGATATTTTTTTTTGATAATTTGGTTTTTTTTTGTAAAAAAAATATAATTTTTACAGTGTATATTTTTTCTTGAAAGGCATAATACTTGTCCGCAACTTCTTCGAAGACACCATCTCAATCAAACAAATCGTTCGCAAGATATATGTTTTTCTATTGATGCGTATCATTTTTGCATAAACCCTTTTCAAGTGTTAGTCGTGTACAAAACTAGGGAACCAAATATGTAAAATGGCATGTTGGACAATAATAAACAACTGTGCAAAGTTTCAACAGATGAAATAGATCGATGTAACAAAAAACCAGTTTCAGAATATATATATATAGCTTTTGGCTTTTCGGCATTCAATCTTTTGACCGTTTAGACCTTTTTTCTTTCGATTTTTTATCGGTCTACCTTTTGTCCTTTCGACCTTTTGTCATTTCGACATTTTGTCCTTTCGACATTTTGTCATTTCGACCTTTTGTCCCTAAGCCCACAAATTGAAGAATAGTTTTTAATCATTAATCATATTCCTTAATGATTGTAAATTTAGATTTATTCGTTAATCATAACCATTCATCATAGATTTTTTTTTAAATAATTAATCATTGTAAATACAGATTTATTCATTCATCATAGAATATCAAATTTTAATCATAGAAAAATTAATCATTCATTGCGATGGGAGTCTTTAATCATTAACAATTAGCTACAAGTATAATTAGAATAGTCAATTATGCCATACCCATGATTCGACCCATGAATTCTATTGTTTGAATCCTGGCTCGTTAGAGTTTTATTGAGGTTTTTGTGAATTCTCCTGACAATTCCACAACTACTACTAGGATAAATATACTTCGAGTAATTCCTAGCTACAAGCTTTAGGAAATCTTTGACCAGAGCTGAAGAAATCCACCGAAGAACTTCCCACCACAAACTTTAAGTTTTGATGTGCCAATTTGTAAGCCAATTTTCGTTCTTCCTCCCGCACAGATGTCAACGATAAGCGACCGTTCTTCGTCGGTAGCCGGTACGGACGTTCGCACGTGTACGGTGGCAAGGACCTCCGGCAGGTGAACGTTGTCCCACGCAACGATCGCTTCTTTCTGGGCTCTCGCTACGGCAAGCGGTCCGATACGCTGACGAAGGAAATCGAAACCGACAACAACAATGGCGCCGAACTGACCTATCTGGCTTGTCTGCACACGGGCATTTCCAATCTGTATCGGTGCTACGGGTAAAATAAACTCTTTAACTGAAATTAGAAAAACATTATAATATATACATTTTTTTGAATTTCAGCAAGGAACGTGACCAGCAACTTGGCGACAGTTTGGACTCATCTAACCTCTAAAGAGCTCCGTCAACATTGTGATACACCATCTCCGTTCCGATTGCCAACTTTAACCTACACGCTGCTTAACACACAAAAACACACGCAATGTTAACAAGATATATTCCAACTTATGATTAAACCGGAAATGACCACGTCGCGCAGCTTTGGCTCCGCTCGCTGAAGAGAGATTTAGCTTGTTTGAAGTTGATCTGTGCTATTGTTTGTTTGTTTTTCAGATCAACCTCAAACAACGATCAAGGCTGGGTGGTTTCTCTTCAGCGATCCCGGGAGCCAAATGGGTACACGCATTATATTTTAGTTTCAACGAAACGATTCAAAAGAATGTTAAACCACATCTGCAAACATTCAACGCAAGGAAACATGCACTGACTGTCGTTGGATTGTTTATATATTACACCCCAATAAAAGTATATATATATTTATGTATTTGATATTTTTGAAAATTGTTGCAAATGTGTAAAGTGAAATTGAATATAAAGAAGACAGCAAAGTAAACCAACTGTAAGCAGATTACACTGTTATCGAGAATCAACGTGATTATTCAGCCAAAACCTACTATTAACTAGATTGACTGTTGCAGATTATGGCCCCTCGTTCATCAACAAATGAACCATAAAAAAGCACAAATGTATATTTACTATCAATTAAAGTGATTTAAAACATAAAAGCAAATCTACCCATATTGGCACTGTTCTTGAAAGAGGTTACATCAGAATGTAAGGAAACTGCTATGTAAATAAACTTTGCACTCACGAAAGCTGTTCAAGCTCGATTTTGTGGTTTTATTTGTCGTTTCAGTTAAATCACAGAGAACGGACGTTGAGGCTCGAACTAAATTTCTGTAAAAACTTGTGTAACAAGATTCCTATTCGACTTAAGCTCCGCCAACGCCGACTTCCCCACTTAAACCCCTCTTTGACAACATGATGGCGCTGGCGTTGCACAACTTACACTAGACACTAAGTGCCGGTAGTGCCGAGTGGTAATTTTCAACCGAAAATTTATCGATACTAGTGCCAAATTGGTCGAAAGTGAAAATTTATAGAGGAAATCAGGAGATGCTAGCGCCACTTATATTTAAACAAGTTTCTGACCAAAGTTGGGCGTCTGTTCTCTGTGGTTTCTCTGCGTCTTGGACCGGTCGGGTTCAAGGTAAACATCATTTTTGCAGGATTGTTGTCCGGCCTTCTTACAACGTGTCCCTTCCATTGTATCCTTCCAGCTTTACCGACTTTCTGGAACTGGTTTCACCATAGAGTTGCGCTAGTTCGTAGTTCATTCTTCTCCTTCATACGCCGTGTCCCATACCCTGCCAAATATTTGTCCTAAGAGGTCCTAAGCACACGTCGTTCGAAAACTCTCAGTGCTTGCATGTCCACGTATCGTGCTGTTTGAGAGGTACCGGTCTTATTGTTGAGTATATACAACGCAGTATGCCTTGCTTTTAGAGCATAACTTCATTTTCTTCAGTTTAAATTATACTACTGACAAATAAAGACGTTCCTTTCAATTGTAGTTCGAATAGTATTTCGAGTCCAGTCCGAATTTTCCCACTTCTGCTGATAGGTTATGGGCCCAGACAGTGCAATCGGAACTGGTGAAGACAAGCTGATGTCGTTTTCAAGGCTCAATGGATCCAATTACGATAACTAGAGTTTCCGGATGAAGCTGTTGCTGACCAAGGAAGGAAATTGGACGACCATAGCGGACGCAAGGCCAGAAGCGGTTACAAGTGCGTGGAAGACCAAGGATGATCAAGCGCTGGCATCGATTGGAATGGCCGTGGAGGATAACCAATTAATCCACATAAGGAAGGCCAAATCGGCAGCGGAGGCGTGGAAAGCTCTAGAAAAATTCCATGTCAAGAAAACGTTAACGACGAAGGTCTCTGTGAAGCAGAAAATTTGTAGTCAACGCCTGGAAAAACATGAAGATATGGAAGCGCACGTATCGAAGTTGTCGGAATTGTTCGAGAAGCTCAACAATTTACAGCCGGAAAAGATTGTTGACGAATGACGACCAATGGTTGGTCGCGATTTTGTTCAGCAGTCTGCCGGAGGAGTACGAGACGTTGGTAACCGCCCTTGAAGCTCGACCAGATAATGATTTGACCCTGGATATGGTGAAGGGCAAGCTCATCGATGAATGGCAGAAAAAGAAGCAGCGCAACGATGATAGCGATAATCCTGAAGCTGTTCTCTATGCAAGTTCAAAGGCCGAAAAAGACCGGTGCTTCTTCTGCAAAAAGTTAGGTCACCAGAAGGCAAATTGCGAAAAGTTCAGAGTATGGAAGGCGGAGAAAGGAAACGGAGCTGTATCCAACCACGTATCGCAGCAAGATGATGATGATAGCTACGCGTTTCTCACTGGATGCAATAGTCAAGCGGAAGACCAATGGATTTTGGATTCCGGTGCAACCTGCCACATTGCAAATTACCGGAACTTCTTTGAGGATTTGGATGATGCAGCTACTGAGGACGTTTGGGTCGCCAACGGGACGAAGGTATGTTCGAAAGGCCGAGGTGCTGGGCGAATAAATGTGCTAGATATTTCTGGTCGACTACGTGAAGTTCCAATAGAAAGCACTTTGTATGTTCCTGAAATGAAGTCAAGTTAGCTATCCGTGAAGCGGCTGGTGCAGAAAGGATTCGTCGTCACATTCGACGCAACTGGAGCGAGAATCATGAAAGGTGAAAAGATATGTGCTATGGCGGAGTCCGTTGGTAACTTGTTCATAATTCGTCAATCAACCGAAAACGTATCCATGGTGATGACGAACGATGACTGCGTGCATGCGTGGCACAGACGATTGGGACACAGAGACTGCGAAGCGGTGTTGAAAATGCAGACCTTGGTCAACGGCGTGAGGGTGAAGAGATGCAGCTGCACTGATGTATGTGAAGTGTGCATTGAAGGTAAGATGCACAGGACATCGTTTCCGAAGACGTCAGAAAGTGTGTCATCGGCGGTGATGGATTTGGTTCACACTGATATTTGTGGACCAATGAGGACGGCGACTCTGGGCGGAAGACTATATTTCATCACATTCATCGACGACTACCTACAGTAAGTACACGGTCGTTTATTTGCTACGGAAGAAGTCTGAAGCGCTCCAGAAACTGAAGGAATATGTTGAGCTAGTCAAGACGCAGTTTGGAAGGAAGCTAAAAATTCTCCGCTCGGACAGGGGTGGTGAGTTTACTGGCAAGGCGATGAAGCAAAACGGTATCATCGGCCAGCTCACGGCACCATACACCCCACAGCAAAATGGGGTAGCAGAACGAAAGAATCGTTACCTTGTCGAAATGGCCAGGTACATGCTCATTGACGGACATCTGGACAAGCGTTTCTGGGGAGAAGCAGTGGTAACTGCAAACTACATGTAGAACAGGCTGCCATCACGGTCGATCAGTGGCACACCATATGAGCGGTGGTTCAGGAAGAAGCCCAATCTCGGACACATTCAGCGGTTTAGTGTGGATGCGTACTGCCATGTACCAAATGAAAAGCGAGGGAAGCTGGATCGGAAGGCTGTCAAGCCCAGGTTCGTCGGATACAGTGAAGTATCGAAGGCATACCGCCTGGTGGACGAGACGAATGGAAAGGTAACTGTTAGCCGTGATGTTAAATTTCTTACTTCTTGCGGGCCCATGCCAGGTTCGGTGGGAGAAAGTCTGGTTGTACCATCCATCTGTTTCGAACGAGGGGACCTAATGAGTGAGCCAGGATCAACTGAATCGGATGACGACGATGTCTGGGATGATCCAGATGAACAACCGGATGAAGCAACTCTCCGTGAAATCGAAGTGCAGTCCGATGCCGTACGTGTGAACGGGAGTATGTCCAGTGTAGATGTCGATTGTAATAAATATGCATTATTTGTCCAGTGTGTAATCCATTCTCTCATTTATTCCCTTGCTTCTTTTAACACACACATACATGCATTATCGTAGGGACACCAGTGTACAGCTAAATAGTTACTGCGTCAGTCGAGTGAAGAAGAGCCCAACGAATAGTGTGATCTGTAATAACGTTCCATAAATAAAGCTAAAAGACTAATTAGTTGAAGATTTATTACATGGTGTCAGAAGTGGGATACGGATGTCTAACTAGTGTACTGAGTGGATCCTGAAATCTCCCGGAAGAAACGTGGAAGCGGAGGAATAGTCACACGCGTTGGTGTGTAAGATGGCGTCTGGATTCGACATGCGTTTGCCTCAGCCACTTGACACAGCAAACCTCGCGAAGGAATGGCCCCGCTGGAAGCAAGCGTTCGCCATCTACTTGAGAGCGAACAATAAAATAGGAGAAAGTGAAGCAAACAAAATTGCAACGTTTTTGTGGCTGGTTGGACCGCGCGGAGTAGAAATTTATAATACTCTTTACCCAAATGATGGAAGCGTTGAGGATATGTTCGGACAGGATGAACCGGCTGCTGGAGGTGCTGCTGCAGGAGGTGCTGCTGCTGGAGGTGCTGCTGCTGAGGGTGCTGCTGCTGGGGGTGCTGTTGCTGGAGGTGGTGTTGGTGTTGGTGAGCAGATGAATGACCGTAATCGGAATGCTGCACGTACACTAGCAGAGGTGGTATTGGCATTTGATAATTACTGTTTGCCGCGTAGGAATGTGGCAATGGAGGCGTTCAAATTCAACTTAGTGACGCAAAAGGAGAAGCAATCTTTTGGTGACTTTGAGACGGAGCTACGTACGCAGGTACAGTATTGTGATTTCAAGTGTTCCGGCTGCCAAACGTCATACTCAGACCGCATGATTCGGGACAGGATAATTATTGGCGTGCAAAACAAGAAGCTGCAGTTGAAACTGCTGGATGGGAAGGATGACCCACTGGCGAAAGTTATTGAAATCTGCAAAATTTTTGAGGCGGCATCAGAGAACAGGCAGCTGCTCGATCGAAAAGCCGGACCGCTTGAAGTGAAGGTGGTGGAGCAGAAGCAAGCGGAAGCAGTAACGCAAGAGGTGATAGATTCAATCACTCGGAAAACCTGCTACAATTGTGGAAAGCTGTATCATCGCAATCATCGTCAAGTGTGTGCAGCATCGAAGGCCGTGTGTCACACTTGCGGAGAAGTTGGACATTTTAAAATGTGTTGCCATAAGAAGGAGAACGGTAACCGAAACAGGGTTAACCAGGCGACCCCATCCGGAGGAAGAGGAAATCGGGTCAACCAGGCGAACCCATCCGGAGGAATTGAAAGCAGGGTCAAACAGGCGACCCCATCAGGAGGATGGAAGAAATCTGTACAATCAATTAATTGGACTGACGCAGGTAAGATACGCAAGGTCGATAATGCATGTAGTGTGAAATATGACTTCCTTACCGGTTCTTACAGAGTAAGCTCTAACCTACAAGACAGCGGTCAGATACAAAGATGGAAGAAGGTTTACCATATCAATAGTTTGCCCGTTGCATTTAAACTGGACACTGGTTCAGATGTGAATTGCGTTCCTCTCAGTATCTTTAAGAAAGTTGGTGGTCTCATTCGAACATTTGAGGATGGCCCTGTGTTCGATTACAGTTGTAACAGAATAAACATACATGGGAAAGCACAATTGACATGTCTCGACCCCTCAACAAATATTCCCCAGTCTGCCCAGTTCTTAGTCGTTGATGATAGATTTGAACCCCTTCTTGGATTGCAAACATGTAGTGAATTTGGCTTGATCAAACGTTTGTGCAATGTGAAGAAATTTGTTGATATTCCGAATAATAAGAATGAGTTTGTGAACCGTTTTCGTGATCTGTTCGAGGGTC